TTGAAAGGTGTACGACAATGACATGTAATAGCAAACCCCAGGGATTTGTCCTCTTCCAGCTACCCTGGATTCCTAGTGGTGGCATTCTGATAAAGGTGAATTTGGAAGGCCGGGCGATCGTATATGTCGTTCTTTTGGCACTGATGACCACTATACATTTGCAAATACCTGCTTCTCTTTTGTTAAACTTTTGCTTGAAATCACAGTGAAGTGCATGCAGATGTGTCAAACGTCTCTTTCTCCACTGACACTTTTATTCATTTTGAGATAACTTCTGATCCATCTGTTCTAACATTTGGTGAATATACGTGTTGGGGAAGAAGTGAAGTTTGGCATACAGAGTTCAGCCTTCTGATACGACACAAAGAAAAAAGCTTCTGAGCTGTGTGGGAATTACATTTCACCTTCCAAGGGTTTCAGATTAATATTTTTTTGTACTGTTACTATCACAAGGGCTTCAAACTTCTCTTACGGGATCTCTTGCTTTTGTTGTGCATTTCCTTTTTTTTCTAAACCATTCACCGTTTAAAAACAGAACCTTGTACTTTCCATATGCCCCTGTCCACAATGTGTTTTCATTTTCCTGATATTATTACCATATTCAGTATTTATATGTGATATACTTTGATACTTTGCACAGGGATGCTCTTCTTCCCTTTACAAACATCTAATCTGTCATCCATCCTTTTGTAACCCAATCAGGTAGTTGGGCCTCTGATTGCATCTCCATTGCTTGGAAAAGAAGAGATTTTCACAGATACTCAACTTTGGTGGTTTTCTTTGCAGGCTGACTGTTGGCAATCAGTTCCTGCTATTAGACCCTGCCCCAGTTCTTTGGCACCTTTTTATACCCTTATCTTTCTTTGGATAGCATCATTATTCCACCTAAACTAGAGATTTGTATCATATTGACTTAATCTGATCACTCATGGAAATTAGAGATGGTACAAGAAGTAGACTATGCGGTGGAGGAGATTTTGCATTTTCCTGTGAGGGCTGTTCTGAGGATCAGTGTTTTTTATAAGGGAAAACTATGTTCCCATGAATGACAGACAGTTCAGCCATTTCTGACCCTCATGTTTTTTTCTCTCAAGCAGAAATACCATGGCATCCATGACCTCTATTGACAGTAATTACCAGTAGTAAGCCACATAACTGGGATAAATTAGGATTTTAATAGTACAACTTTCTTAACATTCCACCTGCATTTTAAGCCCACTGTTTATTACTAATTACAGGCATTTAAAAAATCAGATATGTCCGAGAGGCTTATCTTCAGAAATTCATAAATCTTACAGCATTCTTCCTCTCTCTCCTTCCTTTTTGTCCTTTTTTAGTTGGCAGAGTGCTGTGCTGTTCGGAGATACTGTGGTGAATGCAGAAATTGAGTTAAAACATCCTGAATCCTGGTTCTGAGCTGAGGCTCCAGATTGTCCTTCTTGCTTTAAACAAGTATTTAATATAAGCTGATAAATTGTTCACATTTCATCTCACCTTCTGTTTAGATGAACACAACTCCTTTGAAGTTGTGCATTCTTTTTGCCTTTAAAGGGTCTACTATCTTCCATAATTCTTAGTAAACTGAAAAACCTATGTGCTTCTTGTTGTTATATTTTATTACTAATATTGGCCCGGCTAAGTTGATAGACCTCAATCAAGTAAAGTGTAATTTGCACAAGTGAAATCAGAGTAGAATTAGCCAAAGCCTCACAATATCTAAGTAGGCAAGCATATCAAACGTCAAAATTTAGGTCTCATCAGTTTTTAGAAAATAGGGTACAGTATGACAAGTGCAATATCAGAACATTTATACAGTAATTTTAACTGCTTAGCTCTGACGTTAACGTGCCGACTGGCTGCAGTCACATAGTAGTGACTTCAGTACTGAAGAATCATGTTGTTGTTTTATAAATATTTATTGTGTCAGAAGGAGTGGTAAAGTATAGCAAATCTCAAAGTTTCACGCTGTTTGACTCCTTGTTGTTAAGAGTCTTGCTCTGTTGTTTACATTAGTCTCCAGTGAAAAATATTTTCAGGAATACCTCTCTGGATGCAGAAGCAAAGCTTTTATAGTATCATATATTGGTCGCGAGTTATCACTAATGATAATTTTCTGCTCATAGCCTGTAACACAGTGAGTGTTACTGCAAAATCTGTGGGCACACATCACAATGTAGTGCAAAATAATAGAAGACAAAACATTCGGGTTTACTTCTCTGCCCAGTCAGGAAGAATTTATTTGTGGGAAAGTGCTTTTCCCAAGGGCTGACTCTGAAATATCTCATTCTGTTGTTGGGTGCTCAGAAATTCAACAAAAAAAGCAGAACTGTACACATGAAAAATGGGTGAATACTTGAGGTATAAAGCCAGATCACGCTGAAGGCTTAACTTCATCCTAGGGCAAAGAGCTTGGCAGCCTGGGGCTGCTTCTATCTGCAGGAGATCCTGGCCTTTTTCTCATCCTGGGCTGGGCTGGGAGGTCCCCCAGCATTCATGATGCCAGCAATGTCTGCAAGAAAAAAATGTAGATTCCACAGCTGTTGTTCCCTTCCTACTCTTTTGGAGTCTTTGCAGAGGTACCTGCATTACCCACTCTTATCCTGCTGCTCCACAGGACCTCTCACCTTCCCCAGTGTCAACAGTGCTACTGGACAGGTGCAGGACTCCGTCTTGCAAATGTCCATCAGGATGTGGCATAACCTGTCTGCAGCAGAGAGCTTGACTGGTACGAGTAGGGATCTGCACAAAGCCTCTGCTGCGGACCACTTGGAAAACCTCGTGTCACAAACGAGCCCCCTCCAAACCCGTTGTGTGCAGCTGAGCTGTAATGGGATACTAACTGATGGTATTAGTGAAGTGTCGTTAATTTGCTCTTGATCAGCTGTTTCTTATTTGCAAAATGCCAGTGCTGGCCAGTGTCTGCACCATGGGCAGGGCCGTGATGGACTGGGTAGGATAGCTGTTTCCCTCACTCTGGTCTGGGTGCAGTTTTACTGTGAAAAGCTAACAGAAGGGCCTCACCAACACACTCCAAAGCCAAGCTGAAGGCTAGCTTGCTGTGTCAGAGGCTTTAAGAGAGTAGTGCACAGTCAGTGCACTTAGGGGTGGTGTGAAGCCCACAGATTTGAAGCGGAAAAATAGGCAAATCACTTTCCTCTGGAGAATTTGATACTGTCCCACGACATCCTTGTCTCTAAACTGGAAAGACATGGTTTTGATGGATGGGCCACTTGATGGATAAGGAATTGGCTGGATGGTCACACTCAGAGTTGTGGTCAATGATTCAATGTCCAAGTGGAGGCCAGTGACGAGTGGTGTTCCTCAGGGGTCAGTACTGGGGCCAGTGCTGTTTAACGTCTTTGTTGGTGACATGGACAGTGGGATGGAGTGCACCCTCAGCAAGTTTGCAGATGACACCAAGTTGTGTGGTGTTGTGGACACACTGGAGGGAAGGGATGCCATCCAGAGGGACCTTGACAGGCTGGAGAGGTGGGCCTGTGAGAACCTCATGAAGTTCAACAAGGCCAAGTGCAAGGTCCTGCACATGGGTCGGGGCAATCCCAAGCACAAGTACAGGCTGAGCAGAGAATGGATTGAGAGCAGCCCTGAGGAAAAAGACTTGGGAGTGCTGGTGGATGAGAAGCTCAAAATGAGCCAGCAATGTGCACTGGCAGCCCAGAAAGCCAACCGTGTCCTGGGCTGCATCCAAAGCAACGTGGCCAGCAGGTCGAGGGAGGTGATTCTGCCCCTCTGCTCTGCTCTCGTGAGACCCCACCTGGAATACTGTGTTCAGCTCTGGATTCCCCAGCACAAGAAGGACATGGAGCTGCTGGAGTGGGTCCAGTTGAGGGCCACGAAGATGATGCGAGGGCTGGAACACCTCTGCTATGAAGACAGGCTGAGAGAGTTGAGGCTGTTGAGCCTGGAGAAGAGAAAGCTCCGGAGTGATCTTATTGCAGCCTTCCAGTACCTGAACAGGGCCTACAGGAAAGCTGGAGAGGGACTTTTTACAAGGGCGTGTAGTGACAGGACAAGGGGAAATGGCTTTAAACTGAAAGAGGGCAGATTTCGATTAGATCTAAGGAAAAAATTTTCACTCAGAGGGTGGCAAGGCAGTGGAACAGGTTGCCCAGAGAAGTTGTGGCTGCCCCATCCCTGGAAGCGTTCAAGGCCAGGTTGGATGAGGCTTTGAGCAACCTGGTGTAGTGGAGGGTTTCCCTGTCCATGGCAGGGGGATTGGAACTAGATCATCTTTGAGGTCCGTTCCAACTCTAACCATTCTATGATTCTATGAATGAGAAATAATTCCTAGGAATGCTGGAAGACCATAAGTGCAGCCAGAAAGTGTCAGTGCAGCATGTTTTTCGAAGGTTTTTGTCACAAAATCCATTCCAGCAAGGTCATGTGGACCAGCAAGAGTGAGCATATTCATCCTTTTTTCTTTTTCCTGTTTGCCTGTCCTCCCATTGTGTGAAAACTGGAAGTTTAGAAGGTTCCTAAGAGAGTAAGGTATCTTTTTTTTTTTTTTTTTAAGGTTTCAACCCTGAAGTCTTTTCTTCTAATATTTTAACTGACAAGAATAGTCTGTCTTATTCTCTGTAAGGACTCCTTTTGGGTCTGAAGTCCAAACTTCTCTAAGACAAAAACGAATCTATTAAGACACCCCCTGATTTATGATGTCATGGAAGGATTTGTAATCCGAGTAAGAAACTAACTCATCAAAAAGATGATGAATTTTATTTGAGCCCTCTGGGCCCTTCTTCCCCTCTTGTGCCAATTTGGAACATGATTCCATATATGAAGGCGTATCCTTGAATGTAGACTCAAGGCTATCTGTATAAATTTAGGCAATCAGACATCTACTGATCTTAGATTGCTCAAAGTTTAATTTAACAAGGCCTCTGTTAAGTACAGAAGTCCTTTCAAATGAAGAATTCAGCTCTGGACTAGATGCAGCACTGGCAAATATACATCCAGTAGGGAACGCTCTGACAGGAACAATGTATGAGACACAAAACCAGAGGTCTTCTCCTCTCGCTGTAATTCCCATGGGCTTGTTCCTGAAGTCCTCAATCAGCCACACTCGCATTGTCTCTAGAAGGTTTGACTCAAACCGGAAAGGTTCTGTCTCTGGGGAGAAATGTGAAGGTGGGATCCCAAACCTCTGTTTGACAGGATGAGCCTTGCCCACCCTGTTCTGGCCTGGTCCCCACGTGGAAAGGAGGAGATCACCAACGATGGATGGTCCATGGTGGTATTTTAGTGTCAGTCAGGAGGGAGCTTCCTCAGAAATTCAGTTTGTTCTCACTGTACTCATTTTGGTGCACATTATGGAGAGGTCTTGCAGAACTCAGGCCAAATTGCTTTTGGGAAGAGGGATGGGCAGAGCAGCGCTGCCCATGTGTGAGTGAATAGAGATTCCCGAACTGTTACCCGTTTGCTCACTTGTCTCGACAACTAAGCTTGGTATGTGGTCAAAATAGGACAATAAATTTATGAGAAATGGAACAGAAGGGACATAAAATAGAGTTTCTAGTCCAGTACAATATGACGCACTTGGCTGTACCTCAGATTAACTTGCTTTTTTCTTCATCTAGATGAACTTGTATTTCTTAGGCTGTTTTTCTTGTTTTCACAGACTTTTTTTGACTGCAAGCTACAGTGGCAGACAGAAACAGCCCTTTCTTTGTTCAGGTTATGCTTTTTCACTTTAAATAATCAAGGCTGTAGCAGTCATTGCAATGCTCACTTATCCACCATTTTGTAGTTGCAATCTGCAGCCAGCTTATCCAATGAGGTATTATTCATCAGCTACCTGTGTAGTCACTAACTCCCGTGCTGTTTTTTCCCCTTGCAGATGCCACCGTTGTCCACACCTGCCCACCAGGCCCTGTGAGAAGAGTGAGAAGCCCTGCATGCTGCTGGAGCAAGTGGAGTGACACCCACTTTGTCCCATCACTCTTCCCAGAGGCTCATTTGAGCCAAAGTGTACAAGATGGCACAGATACAAGTGGACGGCATCTCAACTACAAAGTATGAAAAACGGTGAAAGAGAGTGAAGACTGTGGCTTAGCTAATGTGTGTGTGTGAGATGGGTAATGGAGAAAAGAAAAATGGTTTGTTTTCACAAAGGGAGCCTGAAAAGAGCTACATTGTGGTTGCACAAACACTCACAAGGCCTCTGTGAAGGAGAGATGAAGATCTGAGGTCAGCTGTTGCAGTGGAGGCAAGCAGCTGTTTTTCTTGCATTTTCTGGAGGTTGAGATGTGATCTGATCAGAGAATACATGGGCCATAGAAGCACAGTCATGGTCTTTGTGTTTGCTCACTTTCTGTTTTGGACAGGCTTCTGGGAAAACAGCAGAGATACTGTCTAGGAAGGTATGGATGATATTGGAGGAGTATTTTTCTTTTATTCTGTGTTTTGTGTGGCATTTTCTACGCTGTGAGTGGTTTCCAAGGAGGTGTGGATATGGTAGAGCTTCATGACTGGAAAGAGCATGTGAGTGTTTTCCTCAAGGTAGTAACTGTGGATGGCTGGGCTGTTTCTGCTTCTCAGCTATGCTGTTGCTCAGTGTTGGCAGAAGTGCACGCTTGCACTGTGCCCATTGCCCTGATGGAAATAACTTCTGAGGCTCTTCTCTACTGCTGGTAGAGTGATATGCCAAGCGCTTTTCTACAGAAGAAACTCATAAAAAATAGGAATCTGATCCTTTAATATGAATCTGACGGCTTCCCTTTCCTCAAACAGTGGCTGCTGCCTGATTGTCATGTTTGCTTCCTTTGTCATCACAGGCACAGTCATGAGCAGCAACACTCTTGCCTTTGCTGAACCAAATTGGAGACTTAGGAGACGCCAATGGTTATTAATAAAGTCTTAACAGTTAACACTAACCCATTTGTCCTCATCCTGACATGGAAGCTCTACCAACTCCTTCCCCAACCTATGCCTTTTTAAGAGTTGTCAATTTAAATCACAAATGTGGCTGATGAGGTCCAAAATGCCTGACTTACGTTTGGGATGCCTCTGTCTACATGGGAGTTTTCAGCAACAACTGAAAAAATCAGAGGATTTCAAAGAGCAGACTGCACTTCTATATATGCCTTCCATCTCCAGCATGAGGTAAAGCAGGTAGACATCTTTGTATCTGCCTATAACTAAATCCTGGGCTCATTGGTGTCCTGTAAAGGCAGGTGAGGAGGGGCAGCCACCATGTAGGGTCCTTTGAGGAGTCCTTAGAAACTTCCCAGTCAATCAGCAAAACTTATCCTTGCACAAAGGCTAACCATTTCTTCAGTAACTGTTACTCCTGAAGTTTAGTACAACTTCTGAAAAGCAAACTAGTCAGAAAGCACAGAAACTACTGTTTCCTTCTTCGGAGCATGCACTCTACAAAACATGTAAAACTCTCCTACCCTTGTGAGAGGATAAAACACAAAGCCTGAACAGTTAGCCATTGGATTGCAAGTCTTACTGTCCTCTGGGCGACAGTGGTGAGAAAATACACCCAGCGTTGACAGTACCAAGGCCTAGTGGAAAGCGCCACCGCCAATTAAAGGGCTGGGAAAAGCTCTGGTTCTGCGCGGCCAAGCCCAAGAGAAAACAAATTGATGGAGTGTATGAGAACAACTGCGGGGACTGTGAGGCCGGGAAGCATAGGGTTGTCACCAGTCTTCTCTAATAACACTTTGCCAAGTGTAAGGTGTCATACTGCAACGGCAAACCCCTTTGATAAGGTCTAGGAGTCGCAGGCAGTACCATTTTTCATGATGTCTTTGGTGCAGGTTGCCACTGATTTATCAGCAGATCAAACTCTGCCCCGTGATCTCCTCTGCAGGTTCTGTTGTATCGCAACAGTCAGAACGGGAAAGGCACTCCCACTGTCAGAAATCCCTTGGTCACACTGGTGAGGAATTGCCTGCCTGTGACCTGCTGGAGCTTCTGGTACAGGCTGGGCTGTTTCAAACGTGGGGTTGTGCAGCGTTTTGTGAGTGGCCGGGGAGAGACTCTCTCTGTCACCGAGCCCTCTCTGCTACTGAGGATGCTGCACGCCTGTTGTATCCCTGCTTGTCTTGTCTTGGCCTCTCTTGAAGAATACATTGGCTTTAAATTGCTGGCGAAAGCATGCTGAGGGGCTACAATACGTGTGACATCTGCGTAAATACCTCTTGGTGCTCTTGGATTTTTTACTTCTGTGTTTCTGTTTCTACCCCTATACCTAATACTTTGCAATGTGAATTCTTGTCCCTTCGGCTCCACACAAACTTTTGAGAACGTTGTTTATTTGCTAAAATACGTAACTAATACAGTATATTCAGAGGCTCGGGCTCTTGACCACCCAGCATAACTCCAGATGCAATGTGCAATACTAATATTAGAGTTGCTCCTGTACTGACCATTTCTCCTGGCCAGCTGCCAGTGTTGTAAACAGATCTGTACACCAGTGGAAAAGTACTCTGACCTTAGAGACTGATTTTGCTGGTGCCAGGCAGCAGACTCTCTACCCTGTACCAAAGGATGTGGGCAGTGAAATAGTTTCAGGTTAGTCAATGTCGGATGGCGATGTTATTTTCTTCTCCATCTTGTTTCTGTAATTTTTTGTTGGAGATAAGTAACACTACTTCAGCATCTTAAAATAGCTCTTTTACAGTGATATCTGGAAAAGCTGGCTATCGGACCCTGCTGATGTTTCTTTCCTCCACTGGTGTTTTGTTGTTAAACTGTTTTGTTGTTATCTCCCCATCCTGGTCTGAGCTGCTGTACAGTGTATTTATTGTCTGGGAAGGCTATTGTTGCCTCTCTCATGTTTCCTATACATACTAGGTAGCCTGCTATAATTATTGGGCTTTTAAAAGGAGTTATGACTTCTGGTGCAACTCCGCTGCAGAACAGAGATAGCTTTGTGTAAGACCATCATGTTAACCTCACTGGGTGGAGAGAAGGGGGAACCCGGCTTGCCTGAGGTTGTCCAGAGCTGCGTCAGTTCCTTTTTCAGAGCCCAAGTTTCCAAATGTGAAATGCTTGTGTGTTTCATTAACTGCTTGTAGCCTATACAAACCTTCTTAGGCTGTGGAGATAAGCGCAAATACTAATTACTTTGTGACCAGAAAAAAAGAACATAATTTTTTTTCCTGAAGACAGAAGACATAATGAAATTATTCTTCACAGGAGAAATTACATAGCTCATGAGTTGTTGCCTCAGAAACTTAAACCACCTGAAAAGCATGTCAAGAGTGATGAGAGTATGGATTTGACCTCCACTTATAAGCAAGATTATAACTCCTGCCCTATCTCTCAAGTACCTCCATGCCTCCCCTGTGTGACGAGACACATCCCCAGCTCCAAGGTGGATACAAGAACCACTTACGAAGGTATGTGCCCTTGCAGCTTCTTTCAGGACTTCACCAGTAGCTTCATTTTTTAAGAAGACAGATCAAAACAGCATGCAGTTTTTATTCCTTCTGTCTATGTATGTCAGCAAGCTGTGCAGGAGCCACGCAGACACGAATTATTGGGAATACAGCCTTACATTCATTAATGGTAGCATTGGGATTTCTCTGAATTCACCCTCTTTGCATGTCTGGCAGGCCTACAGGCATCCTAGGTAGAAGCAGGGCCATATGAACTCCTGCAAGTTGGTCCAGCAACACCATCCTTAGGATATACTGAACATACTCTTGATATACTGCAGGGCTGGTCCACAAATTCAGTGGATTGGACACACCTAAAATACATAGAATTTGCTAGGTCTGAGGAGGTCATGAAGTGTGGAACACTGTTTGCGTGTGCTATGGAGTTAGTCTTTGGATGTGCAAGAGACCTATATGGGAATTACGGACACACAGAAGTTCCACACAAACGTCAAAATCACTCAGGCTCTACTCCTAGTAAAACAGGTGGACTGTACATCTAACTGCGCCCTTGTTTCTCAGTAGCAGTAATTTGGTGTAGGTGGCTTGTCTTTGTGGGGACTTTGTTCCTTCTTCTCCACCAGCATGAACGTTCTTCTGCATGCATGCATGGGGAGAAAACTTTCAGCTACGCAGTTACAGTAACTGCGCTAGTTTTGGTAGCACATCATAAGCAGAAAATCAGAGGATTTTGCCTCCCCTCTGCACACCTTCCAGCTAGCTAACATTGCCAGGCAGATAGCTAGCATTTGTGTATTTCTTAAAATAATTTTAATTATTTTCTTTTTATTTAATTTTAATTTTATTTTTACTACGCTATGCAAATATAAAAGCTTATGATTGGTGCTGGCATTGAGATTTGCCTCAACATACAGAAACATTTTTTTTCTTGAAACTCAAAATAATAGAGTAAGGAAGGAAATAAAAAGTATGTGAATGCAGTGTTAAGATTACCCAGCTGAAATGACTGAAAGTCAGACTTTCGTGCAGCTGCATGTTTGCAATTGCATAAACTGGAATTTTTACCTTAAGCACACAGGAGATACTGTCCATTTAGAATGACTTGAGTAGTGATGACTGACCCACAGGTGTCAAATACCCACGTTTACGCAATTTTGAAGACTTTGTTTTGCATAGGCAATGTTACCAGATGGTATTCATTGGAATATCTTTAATGAAGCCAATTAGAAAAGGCTGCTTTGTGCAAGTGGAGAATCTTTCCTTCCGTGTTTAGGTATCCTTAACTTCTCCGTATCTGAACCAAATGCGTATCTTCATCTTTTACTAGTGTTCAGGTCAGCACCTTAACTGCTACTCCAGAGCTCTAATAAAATGTCTCTTAGCTACATTTGGTTATAATTTGCAGTATTTTTCAAAACACTGCAAATGGAAATCTTTGTCCAAACCCCTCAAAGATCAAGTTGCATACTGAATGAACTCCCTTTTAAAGGCCCAGGTTCACCAAAAATACCAGTTTTCATTGTGCTATTCTCTAAGCATTGCTAAATTTTACTGATCACTACTCAAGTGTGAAATTTGGAAACATGCTATTCAATTAATTATCATAATTCCAATATTTAAGCAGCATGTAAAACAGTGTTGCATTGGTATTAAATTACCTTTCCTACTGTATTGTGATACTCTCTCTCACTAAACACACCATAAACTAAATGATCCTGCAGGTTTAAGATGATGCTATTGCATATCATAATTAATGTCAGATAACTTTGTAATTTAAGATTTCAAAATTCTCATCTCCTCCAAGCTACACCCGTAGCGTCCATCTGCAGGTACGTAACCTAATATTAGTTTTCTCTTACTTGGTTATAGTGAGATATGCCTAACCCTTCAATAACATATGGTTCATATCCTCCATTCCCTCCTGTACCCCCTAATGTTTTCAAGATTGTGCTACGTGGGAAACTATTAATATCAATGGAAGAAGAATTAGAATGACGATAAATTGTAACATATTTCGAAGAAATAGTAGCACTGCTGGCTTACACTAAGTAAAATAAATTCATAATGCCTATGAGGTCTCCAAAAGTGTAGAGCTTGTAAATTTTTAAAATTGAAGACAGATGGACTTACTTGTCATATTTTGAATATTTTGCAAAAGCTGTGGTTATATCCAAAACGCACAGACTATTTTCCAGCAAAGATGATGGGAGAACCTAAAAAGTTTTTTGATAACTCTTTGTTGGCATCTGAAATGTCAGATCTCTGAATGAGCCCTTGTTTAGAGATTGGTTGCATCTCATTAGCGTCTCACTTTTTAACACTTTATTAATACATTCATTGTAATGACACATCTGTATATGCTTGTGGATCACGTTGCTGGACCATCTCTCCAGGAATAGGCACAAGGTCAGCATCCCACCAGTGTGGTGGTGCCCGGACACCTCCTATTACCCCAAAGAAATGAGCACCTGGGACATTTAAACCCCCTGGCACTAGTGGGGTGGGCAGCCAGGGCTTCTGTGGCACCATCAGTGGCAAATGAGTGCCTGTGCCAGTGCACACAGGCAGGCCCATGTTCTCAGCAGGACACAATAATTAGCGGCGTGAGGACAGCTCTGTACCCGAGGGCCAGGGTGTTCGCTGGAAGCAGCACGGCTCCTGTTGCTGCTGCTTCCTCTCTTGTGCCAGGGAAAAGAAACTTGATTCGAACCAGAAGGTCTTTAAATGAACACCTAACTGGGGTAAAAAGTTACTTTTTTTTTGGGTCAACTTCACATCATAATGAACACACCCTTTGTGTAATTGTGCTTGTGCAGTACAATACCCACTGCCATTCAAAAGGAATAATTCTGTTTGGATTGGAGAGTTCAAATATCCTGATACCTAATTGCATCATTTACTCTCTAGTACTTTGAAATCCAGACTTCCTTCCTGTGCAGAGTCAGCTGGAAGCTTATTTGCCTCACAGCTCTCAATGTGGTTTGAAAGGAGGGAAAATGAAAAAAAAAAAAAGACTTGGACTAGTTCCAAAATTATTTCATTTCAGCTTCCTACCAGTAACCATAATGCTCTCTAGGGGAAGTTGCACAAGATTACTAGGAAGGAAAAAACCTCATGGTCTTGTGGCTGCAGCACTGGTTGGAGAGTTAGGCAGCTTTGCAAGAGATTTCTAGTGTGAGTGAGTGCAAATCTTTTTAAGTCTCAGTGCCTCAATTCTTTTCCAGGTATCCTGCCAAGTAAGAAAGATATAAATGTCTCTAAAATGCCACCTAAAACGTTTTCTTAGTCACGAATTTGGATAGCAAGATTTCTGGAGCATGGACCATCTCTGTGATACGATTCAATGCTTCAGATCAGTGTAGGCTTGGTCTGCAAATTCCAGCACAGTTTTTCTGATAAGGAAGAGCTGTAGACAGAGTTACAAGCCCCTTCTCAGTTCCTGCTTGTACTGACAGCAGGAGTGCTGCAGAGAGCAAAGCCAAGAGCCGAGGAGATGCCACACAGCACAGCTTGCTGACACCAAGATGAGCTGCAAAACTCTGAACTCAGCAAACTGTAGGCAGCATCGCATCTGTGTAGTTGAGAAATCGGGTCATCCCCAAGTGAGAAAGTGCAAAGAGGACAAGTAGCTCTGCGAGTTGACCTTTAGAGTAGAATGGTGGACATTTGGTTCTCCTTGCCCCAGAGATACTGCAGAAGACACCTGAAGAGCCGTCTGCAGACATAGGCATACCTGGCCTGTGCTCTGAGCCAGCCACCACATAGCTGAAGGAAGGTAAACGAAGGGGGTCGAAGTTGGTGCCATATACTCCACTTTCATGATTTCTGGTTGGCTGAGCATGAGGACAGCACCCACTCAGTCACGATGCAGAAAATGTCTCTGCAAGACCGAGAATGTAATTTAATCTTCTCACATCTTTGTAGACATGGGTGGATACAGGACTCTTTTCATTCCATTTTCTGTGTAGATGCTAAGCATTTCCAGGGGTAAGCACAATAGTGTATAATGTGTTCTACAGCAGCTCTTTTAATAGAATTTATCAATCATTACAACATCAACAAATACTTATTATAGTAGAAAATGTAACAATCAAAACATAATACGGTATATGCCTAAACTCACCAAAAAACTTCCGTTGAGCCCTTAGATAAAACTTCTTTTATGTTTCAGATGACTATATGCTATGGAACAAGCCAAAGACAGAGCTGATCAGACCAAACAACAGGTTTTGCCCATCAGAAGAAAAATTTGACCACAGAACTGTTGTCCAGAACGACTATGTCTACAGGGGGCCAGTTGCCACTCAAAGCTGCAAACCTCTGAATCCGGTCCAGAAAAGCGAGGCGCCCTTTGAAAATATGACCAGTTATAGAGTGCATTATGTGCCACATGCTCTGGGGAAACGTTATGTCCATAAATATGAGAAATACAAGGTCAATGACATCCTATTTGATGGCTTCACTACCTACAAAGTTTCTTACAAGGGGGTGGCTGGTCAGCCAGCCAAGCTGGCAAAACTATACCAGCCGAAGCTTCTTCATGATCTTCCATTTTCCTCTACAACTGAGTTTCAGGAAAGATACCAAACTTGGCCATTGCCTCCTGTATTCACCAAAAAACCTGAAGTATATCTTCCTCCTCTGGAGAAGATGGACCTTCACACCACTACTCAGACACATTACAAGCACCAAAATGGCAAGCCAGCCGAGATGTGCAGACCTTTGGCCCAGCTTGAAAAAAGTACTGAGCCATTCGAGAGCTCTTCTGTAATGAAGGAAGACTATAAGCCTTGGCTGTGCAAGAGACTAAAACCTATCACTCATCCTCCAGTGCTGGCTTTCCCAGCAAAACCAACAGACTTCTTGACTACCTTTCAGACCCATTATGTGCCTCATCCGCTCACAGTTACAAAGAGCTATAAACCTGGATGGTCAGGCCCAGAACGTCCCACTCTGCTAGATGCCAAAACCATCTATGCTACCAGCTACACACCAAAGGGCATTGTTAGATGCTTTGCCTCTAACAAAGACCCACCCGGTTACACCTTTGAGGGAACTAATGCTGATGGTCACAATGTCCATCTCCCTGCTTCCAAGAATGAGTACGTGCAAGGTGGACCTTGAAGGAAAAAGAGTGTGGATGCTGTCTTCTTGGAAATGGATTCAAAGAGCAGGGCCTCAGTGAGCTAAAAATGACAGCTTGATTATTTTGTTTGTAACCTTCTTTCAAACCAATCACTGATTTCAAATTTGGAGAGTTCTTAAAATAAACTTAATTCCCAGACATTGTGGTTTGTTTTTTTTTTTTTTTCTGGATCATTTGTACAAATGAAAAAATAAAACCCAGGGAAAAGACATGTTGATCCTTGTTTCCCTGTACTTTTTTTCTTTTTCCTGCCTAATACTTGCTCTTTAATTGAGAGATAACTTCCTCCTGAAGCACTAGAAGAGAGGTCTTGTAGTAACATACATTATTATTAGTGTAATGGGAGTTCAGCCATGTCCATGATAACAGCAGTAGAACAGCCTCTTCAGATGAATTGCTTGCTGTGAAGTCACACTTAGAAGTCATGGCTGGATAATGAAGTCTGAGATTTGGCCTTATCGGTCACTCCCATCAAAGACCAGTACAGAAGGTACGATTAGTGGCTGAATATTATTGAAGATTGCACCTTCCTTAATTGTGTCACCGTGCTGCCCAGGGCTAGGCTGTCAGATGAGAGGTTGTCATGCCAAAGATGCTGCCCTAGGTTGACAGCTTGGAACCTTTTCAGCTCTTTGCTGCAGGGTGTGGTGTGGGTACCAAAAACGCCAAAGGGCTGAAATTGTCACGTGTTGCTGCAGTTCTGCCAGCAGCTGGAATTGTGTTATCTTTTGGATAAGGCCAATATTAAGCTCCTGACCAGAACTGTTAATTTCCGTGTCCAAGGTGCTTTTCTGTAAGCTTATGAGTGTTAGTTTAGTACTATGAAACATATTGGCTTCTTAAGCACATTCTACTTTCCTAAATCCTTCTCTCCCTTACTGCTGACACCTCTGGCTATTTCCTGAGTATTTAGCTCAAGTGCTAGGTAGAGCAGTTGAGAGTTAGGAGAAAAGGCTTGTGTCTCACCATCAAAGTGGCTGCATTTAAAGAGGAAGCGGAAGACAATTTTCTATATTTTAAATATATATATTTAAAACCTGTATTTTAAAACTTTCGAAAAGCTTTGAAACCCATTGGGATAGAAGTCTTCCATAACTACTTGCAAGCTAAAGCCAAACACATTCCATCTGGAAATGCGAATGCTTAACCCTGAGGTTGGGAAGCCACTGGAACAATCACCCTAGAGGCACAGTGGTTCTGCATCACTTGAAGTCCTTAAATCAGTCCTAGAGAGCTTTTCTAAACATATGCTCCAGTTCAATGAAAAATTATGTGCTTGCAGCAGGAACAACTAGGCAAGTCTCTACAGATTACACTATACAAAAGGGCCAAACTATGTAGTCATTGATGGCTCCACACAGCCTTCAGATATTGAGGAATCTGTAAAATATTCACTCACCTGTAGTGAGGTATTGACCTAGAGTATGTTTGGCACTTTTTTCAGTGTCTCCTATCTTACCAGCCTTCTTGAGCCCTCGTGTCTTTAATGTTGAGCTTTGACAGGAAAATATTTTTTCTTCCCCATCTCTTTTTATTCACTTATTTTTCTGATTTTATTTATTAGCCTGTAATTCTGTCAATTCTGAAACATAGTTTATATGAAAGAAACAGCTGGGGCTTCTGACTGCAGAAGAGATTGATCTTTTATGAAAGAGAGCTCCCTGACTGTTCTTTCAACTCTTTGATGTGAGACTGGCAGCGAATAGAGAGCCAGGAGAGTCTAGTGTGTAAATCTTTCTTTATTTCAGATTTGTTTGTTTGTTTGTTTTTTTTTTCTGGGTTGAACTTAGTTTATCAAAATGGATAGCAGTGCAATATGCTACTTAGCATTAGTAGTTGCTGGATTTTGAACATTAACAACAGGAGTCTTGATTTTGCAGCCAGTGGACTAGCTCACGACAACATCGAGAAGACCTGACTAGTTTAATTCCAACACTTTCACAGCATGAGACACAGGTTTGGTTTTATTTCCTGACTTGTACATAAATGTATAAAAAGCATATTAAAATCAACATATGATAACACTAAGGAGCAACGTGAGTTCACTTGAATGATTAAATGTGTGGTTGAACAGAAATGAAAGCTGATTAAAGCTTGAGCTGCCGCAAAGTGGCCTTTCTCTCCACCTGCAGCTGCATTTCCCCCCATTATCTCTCTTTCCAATAACAACATCAGTGCTGTCTGACTGCACTGATGAGCTAGGTCAGGAGACTGACCCGCAGAAGGCAAATCAGTGTTTTGGTAAGGTTAAGGCCCGTTCACTTCATTTTCCTGAACCAGTGCACAACACACTTGCACAATTGCCAACTTTGGTGCGGGAGGTCAGCGCAGAAAGAAACATGTGGCTCCAGTAGCCCAGACTTGGCTGGAACTGCTCTGGAAGCGCATCCCCCCCTTCCTAAACAAGTTGATCAATGCCTCCTAATTTGGTGTTGCCCTGAAGCAGAGCCTTTGTGTGCTGCCTGACCTCCCTTGGAGGACGGGTTTGTTACCTTGTCTCTGTCACCCTCCTCTTCTCCACAGTGGAGTGCTGATCACAAGGGGACCCTGTCCAACGCGTGGACAGGGCTGCGCTTCTGCTCCTCCTGGCCAGGAAAAAGAGCTTAAAAGGTCACTGAACTGCACCGCAGGTTTGTGTAATTGTTTTTGAAGTTACGTAGAAGAGAGGGAGGAAAATGAAACTATAATTGTGTGCGTGGCTGAACCAAGTGCTAGATACTAGTGCTAGATGAACTAGCACTTGTTCAGAAACTGCTCTATAGTGATCTTGTTCTGTGGGAAAATGATGAGTGAAAAAAAGACTACCTTCCTTTGGCCCAGATTCCAGTCTGGAGAGCAGCCCTGAGGAGCTCATGAAACTTGCACTCATGATGCAGCACAAGACAGCACTTCTCACTGAGTGAACAAAAGGGTCGAAAGAGGGAAGCCAGTTGTAATCAATCCACTACTTCATTTGCTGGTATTTTTGAAGAATGGATGATGGTGTGAACACCTAAACACTGGCCTAAGTACAAAGGCTACTATCAAAAAGTGTTTCAAAAGCCAAAATGCAAGGATAAAAGCAAGGGGCTTTGTCCTTGGCATGGTTGAGAAAGGCATCTCTACTGTGAAGAATGGAATAAAGAACAAGGAGTATTGTGCTAAGCACTAATAGATGAAAACTGTTACTGCCAGAGCAGGTTACTACACTAGTATCAATTACTGTAATCGTTGCCAATATATGTCAGATGTGTGCAGGAACAGTCCCCTGTATGTACACTGCAGAGCCTATTTGGAGGCATAGCTTCTTCCTGAGTCCCTGAAAACACAGGAGAACTCACCAGCACTACTGATCTCCAGGGCAAAGCACAATCTGTTAGGCAAGTCTTAAGCATGAAAGCTGAATTCAAGAGACAAGTCCAAACTAAATTTTAGAAGGGTAGCATTCTTCCTGGAAGGTCCTGAATGCCTGCTCAGCCAGGAGGCAGGCAGGACTGCCGTTTCTGTCTGTGGAAAGTCTGAGCAAAAATACTTAATTCTCCTCTCCTCAGTAGGAAACAAAATAAAATAACCTCCTTCCCCCACCCCCCCTCCTCCCCCAAGTTATATGGAATAATGGAGGAGGTAATTAATCAGTTCAGTTTTAATTTGCATGTTATCAGCCTTTCAACCACCTGTGCCTGCAAGGACTGCAAACCCCAGCGCCTCACATCTGCAGGAGACAGTTATTCCATCTGGAGAAGATTTGCAGTTGGCAATAGGTGAGAGGCCAAAAAAAATCTGTAAGTTATATATTTATGGTCTAGAAATACAAACGGGCAACAAATTTGTGAAAAGTTTACCACTACAAACTCTTAAAAGGGCTTCATCCAATGCTATAGACTGCTAGAGAGACCAAATTTTCAGCACCTCAAGCGTTTTCAGAGCTATGAAGAAAGTGTTGAAAGGTAAGTGGTATGCTTCAGCAAGGACTGAGGACGTTCATATCGCAAAGGGAAGCAATATTGATGCTGGATATTGTACTCGGGAGACAGAAGGCAGCTGAACTTAATGTATGAAAAACAAAACCCTTTCTTTGCAAGACAAAAAAAGGACTTTCTTTGGGCATGGACAGGATCTCCCCAAGGGACCCATGTCATTTCAGCTGGAAAGAGACATTTGGGTGGAGAACTGCGGTCGTTTTGGTGGAATGGAAAACTTCCACAACGAATTTTCTGAGCAGAGTTTGCTTTTGGCTGATCCCATTACAAATCCCTCTTCCCTCTACTGTACTAGTATCTCTCTCTGCCTCTTTCCCACACTGGAAGCAGGAGTTTGGTGATTTGTGCCTCTCTTCTTGCTTTTGTGGTGAAATACTGCTTTGGGGCAACTTGATTTTCACTTCTCCATCTGGCTGCATGTCTGTCCCACAGATGTTTTGGGCTTCGTTCAGCAGCGAAGGAATAGGCTAACTCTTAAAGAGGCAATGGTGTGTTTGGCTCTGTATTCCATTTCCACCAGCTCACTAACGCTGTGCTTGCTGGTGTGGAGAGCTGTCTCCAGACAGGCAAAGGGGCTCATGTGGCCCTGCTGAGTGCCATCACACAGGCTCAAAGGTGCTGCTTCGCTGGGCAAGCAGGCCCCTGCTCTGCTTTGCTCTCTGCTAAAAAAGAAAAGTGCCTGTGGGATCCTCCCTGCACAGCTGGATTTAATTTACTGTGATTTGGATGTAGTGGGTTAACAGCGAGATTTTTCTTTTTTGGTAATAAAATCACTAGGTTCTATGCTATTAGTTGAAAACTGACTCCGTCAGTGTTTCGGTAGGTGAAGTGTTTTAACAAGCATCCGCTAACCTCATGGGCTATTTATTTAAACCAATAATTTATGCTTTTTAAAAAAAGCAGCATGTTGAAAAGAGTGGGGGGAAGTCTCTACGTAGCCCAAACCAAATTACTTCTCAGCCCAACCATTAAGCACTTCCTTAAAGAGAAAAGAAACCTGTCCTGGCTCCTCACTTGGA